TTAAATTGCAAACCATGCTGAGAGAGTTGAAATACTGTTCTCCTAACGGGGAAACCAAGATCATAACTCACTTCATTATGGAAGAATATTTCATTTTCACATTTAGTGGGTCCCAGCCCCAGCCCCAGCCAAATAAAATTTTGAGATCACTGCATTTGATAACAGAGCCAACCACAATTCTCTTGTAACACACATATTAAATACACGCTGCTCTTCTGAGTTCTATTCTGTTGAGGACGAAACAGACTAAGCTTGAAAATGCATTTATTTTCCAGGTATCTGTAAGTTGTTTTATGGTAAGCCAGAACCAGCGGAGGGGAGTGTCACATTGTAATTTATGGTACGAAATATATATTTGCTTTTTTGTCCCTATTTCCAGCACAGAGTTCCTAAAACCCTTGTAATTTCCTAAGAGATGAAAGCTTTAAAGTGTCTTTTGTTATGTTAACGAATGACTTTTGCAAAGCCCCTAAGGATGGGAGATGGTTGCCAGTGGAGCCAACCCCGGTTATAAGAGGGTTGTAGCTTTCAGGGGAGAGGAGAGGGCCTGGGGGGTAATTTAATCAATCATGCCTATGTAATGAAGCCTCCTTAAAAACCCTAAAGAACAGGGTTCAGAGAGCTTCACGGTTGTTGGGGGGAGTGGTGCACTCGGAGAGGGCAGGAGGGCATGGAAGCTCCGAGCTCCTTCCCACAGACCTTGCTGTATGCATCTCTTCCTTCTGTTCCTGAATTACATCCTTTTGTAAAAAACTGGTAGATGTTTCTCTGAGTTCTGTGAGCCACCCTAGCGAATTAATCAAGCCTGAGGAAGAGGACATGGGAACCTCCAATCCACAGCCAGTTAGCTGGTCAGAAGCACAGGTGACAACCTGGATCTGTGACTGGCGTCTGAAGTTGATGGGGTGCACAGTCTTGCAGGACTGAGCCCTTCACCTGTGAGATCTGACGCTCCTTCCAGGTGGACAGCATCAGAATTGAGTTGAATTGTAGGATACCCAGTCTATGTCCGATGGGAATTGGATTGAGTTAATTGCTTGATGGCATTAAAAAATATATATACATTAGAATGCGGTACGTTTTATACCCTAATTTATGCTCCTAAAGACCTAATATGATCAAAATAATAAGTCAGAAGAAAATATTTGGCTAAAGTACCACAATAACTACAATTCCTAGTCTCCCAATGATCACTCACATAGTACCTACATTCTCCACATCAAAAGGGATAAGAAACCTTCTTATAAGGAATTTCACTTCATTCCTTCTTGGGTTATTTCTCCAAATTGTACCAAAGGGAGGCAATGGAAACATTTTCCTTTTTCTCTGACAAGAAAACTACGGGGTGGCTATGGCTTGCTTCTTCAACTGTTACGACAAAAAAAAAAAAAAAAGTGACAAAGCACAATGGCCTAAAATAAAAATAGCGTCCAACCAACACTAGCTGTTTGGGTTGTGAGAATCATCTACCAGAGCTGTCACTGGAAAAAATGAGGGACGTCTTTGCAAAAGAGCTCTAATCCTTCCTTCTCAGAAAACATTCACACCCGCATCACACCCCATAAGCCTCTCACTGCTGCAGGGGAGTACCAGAGAATATCTCCTATCACTCTGACAAAAGGAGTAAGAGCAAAAAGGACAATCAGAAATTAATGATTGTTCCTAACTTAAAAGCTCTCCCTAGTTCTTCTCCGTCAAAGTATTTTTTAAAAGTTGAACTTGGGAGCTAGTTATTTCGTATGGACAATGATATACTATCTTCTGCCAATGCTACTGACTGGCAAAGCAAAGTGGGCAACAATTTTATGTAAAAAGAACAGACTAACCCTCTCAAACTTCAGGGTTAGAAAAAGCACCCACAGGAAAGGCAGAACGTACACTAGGAAGGACTCAGAATAGGGAAGATCAGCAGCCCTAATAATAAGCTTATCAGGTTACTAAGTAGACATTTCTCCAAAGACATACAGATGGCCAACAGGCACGTGAAAAGATGCTCAACATCACTAATTATTAGAGAAACGCAAATCAAAACTACAATGAGGTATCACCTCACACCAGTCAGAATGGCCATCATCAAAAACTACAAACAATAGGGCTTCCCTGGTGGCGCAGTGGTTGAGAGTCCGCCTGCCGATGCAGGGGACACGAG